CCCCAGGCACATGATGACGCTGCTCAGGGCACTTCAAACCCATTGCTTCCCTTCCTACTTCACCAAACACTGGGGATTCTCTCGGGTCTTTACAGCTGGACCCCAGAGGGGCTCCCGGAAGTGAGCCCACCAAGCCCCCCCACCGAGAGTTTGGACCCTCGGGCTGGTCCACACTCAGCCTCCACCAGGTTGGCACCTACAGTTTTTTTTTTTTTTTATGTTTTATTTATTTCTAGGAGAGAGAGAGAGAGACAGCGTGAGCAGGGGAGGGTCAGAGAGAGAGGGAGACAACAGAATCTGAAACAGGCTCCAGGCTCTGAGCCTGACGCGGGGCTCGAACCCACAAACCACGAGATCATGACCTGAGCCGAAATCGGACGTTCAACCGACTGAACCACCCAGGCACCCCAGGTTGTCACCTACAGTGTAACTGTTCCTATGGTTACCAGTTCCGGAAGCTTCCGCCTGGGGTGAGTCCACCTCAGCTGTAACTGTATTCCCTTCCTTCTCTCCAGATTTGGGCGTGGCAGTCTATGCGGGGCCTCAGTGCTCTGACAGGGCTGAGGGAAGTTACAGACTGTCAGTCTGGTCATTCTCCCCCATGAGGGTGGACGTGACGGCGTCTGGCCTCTGCAAGCGTCCGAGCTGGGGCTGGACGTCCCAGCCTGGCTTGCGTCTGAATAACGGGAATGCGGTTTTGTCCACCTCTTTTCTAAGTCTTGACTTCTTTTTTTTTTTTAAGTTTATTTTTTTTAGTTTGAGAAAGATACAGATAGCAAGCAGGAGAGGGGTAGAGAGAGAAGAAGACAGAATCCTAGCAGGCTCCACGTTGTCAGCTGTCAGCACAGAGCCCGATGTGGGGCTCGAACTCACAAACTGTGAGATCATGACCTGAGCCGAAATCAAGAGTCAGATGCTTGGGGCGCCTGGGTGGCTCAGTCGGTTAAGCGTCCGACTTCGGCTCAGGTCATGATCACATGGTTTATGGGTTCGAGCCCCGCGTCGGGCTCTGTGCTGACAGCTCGGAGCCTGGAGCTGCTTCAGATTCTATGTCTCCCTCTCTCTCTGACCCTCCCCGACTCATGCTCTGTCTCTCTCTGTCTCAAAAATAAATCAAAAACAAAAAAAGTTTAAAAAAAAAGATTCAGATGCTTAACCGACTAAGCCCCCTAGGTACCCCTAAGTCTCGACTTCTGTTTTTTCCTGATGTTTGCTTTGAATGTCCTTTTATTTCTTTAACTTTTAAAACAGCTTGATTGGAATATATTTTATACACCCTAGAGTTTACCTGTTGAACATGAACAACTCACTGGTTTTCTGTCTATTCACAGAATTGCAAATCTCTAACAACCACCTAATTCTAGAACATTTTCCCTACTATCCCCCATCACTTGCTTGTCAGCCATCCCTCCCCATTCTGCCCCCTTGACCCCCCCCACCCCACCCTTGCAACCACCCCCTACCTCCCTTCTCCGAGGATCTGCCTTTTCTGGACCTTTCGCACAAACGGACTCCTGCCCTCTGGGGCTTTGCTGTGGCGGGCACCGGTGTTCTTTGGGGAGGAAAGATCGATCTCTGCCCGATCATCATCCGAAGGTAAGGTGAGGGGCACCCGGCTCCACCTCCGAGCTCCTGGCTCACCCCCGGGCAGCGTCCGCCAAGCCTGGGAGCCCTGGTCACAGATATGTTGGCCACGAAGACCAACTCGTATTTGATTACGTCCACCATCCAGGAGCGCGCCTCGGGGAGGATGCCCGTGTGGGTGCTGTCCCTGCCCTGCGTCCAGCCACCCCACAGGGTCGCAGGGCAGAAGGCGGGACACAGCAGAGGAAGGAAGCAGAAAGGCCGGTGAAGGGCCAGACCGGGGTGCCGGAAACGGGGTGGGGGCTGGGGGAGAAAGGGACGGAAAGGCGCTGTGTGCCCTGGATGGACGCAGCACGGCGACAGGGCCCGTGTCTTCTCCTCACCCCTACGGCCGCACCCCACGGGAACAGAAGGCACTGGACCAGTTACTTTCCCAGCTGGGGCTCATGGCTGAGAAGGACCCTCTGGGGACTGTCTGCCCAAGGCCAGCAGATACCGCTAGGCACGGACGAGCACCGGGCCACCCTGGCCCTGGGGAGCTCGGGGGACAGGCCCCGCCCCAGCAGGAAGGCCCTCCACCCCACTCCCCCACCCACAGGCCCACACTCCCATGGTGCCAGCCACAGGCCTCCAGCAGCATCCGGAATGAACCAGAACACCGAGCCACAGCCCTGGTTTTGTGTTTTTTTCTAAAGGAATGTTCTTCAGCCCTTGGTCCAACACTTGTGCTGTAAGGCCACAAGTCTAAATGTCTAAACCAAACTGACTCCATGACAGGCTTTAAGTTTCCCCTCTGAACTAGAAGGCCTGAGTTTCGGGTTCCCCGAAACCATCAGGCAGTTACACATTGCCCAAGGCAGGAGAAACCACCCTTGCAACACCCAGTCAGGAAAGGCCAGCGACCACCCTCCACAGTGTTAAGGGAGAGGCCTGGAGATAGAAACTATAGATGGGACCCTGTTACCTAATGTTAAAGTTAACCCATTAGTCGCCGAGTAAGACCCTAGGCTCGCTCTGTGATTGGTTAAATTTAAAGGTACTCTAAACTTTGTAATTGGATCCCGCCAAAAATAACAAATACTCTAGACAATGTGTGTGGTCAAACCCGCTGTCAATGATGTTGTATAATTATGATTGGATCGCTGTTCCCGTGTCACAACTTCTGTAACTCCCCCATCTCAAACCCCATAAAAACCCTACTCTGCCCTTGTTCGGGGCTCTCAGCATGGATCCACTGCGCTGGTGAGGTCTGGGAGCCTGAGCTCGAGCCCGTAATAAAGGCCTTTGCCTTTGCATGCGTGACTCGGTCTCCCCGGTGGTCTCTGGTCGGTGAGGATACTGTGATCTGGGTATAACAGTGCCTTTGATGCTACATCTGATACGGAGGCTCTCAGAGAACAGGGGCTTTGCTCTCGTTACGCTGGATCTTTCTCCAAGCCTGCAGTAAAACGTACAAAATGTGCTTTTTCCTTCTGGAACATCTTGTGTGGACAGGCCGGTGGTATCAAGGCCATTCACACAGCTGTGCAGCCGAGCCCTCCCTCCGTCTCCGGGAGCTCGGCCCCCGCGGCGCGCGGACTCCCCAGCCCCTCCCCCCGCCCTGGCACCCGCCGTCCTGCCTTCCGTCTCTGTGCCCCTGACTCCTCCAGGGACCTCGTAGAAGTGGACTCGCGCACTGTCTGTCTTTTGTGTCCGGGCTCTATCAGTGAGCATCACGGGCTCACGGTTCATCCGGGCAGGTGTCACAATGTCCTTCCTGTCTGAGGCTGAATAATAGTCTGTTGTATATATTGCTTGTAGAGGCTCCTTTTACGTAACAGGCTTGAGCACTGGAATGTAAAGCAAGGCTAAAGTGTCCCCAGTGACCACCACCAGCCAAATGCACACGGGCACCTTGGGCGACCCGCCTTGACATACCCTAGGCCATAACTGACCAGTGGGCTACTTACTTCCAGACACAGGCACCGAAAAAGGGAAGATTCCATTTGTCCCCAAGCCTCCAATCTTCCCCCTTTAAAAACAGCCCTGACCCACTGCCTTGATGCAGACAGACCCTCATTTGCTGCCCTGCCCCTTGATCCCTTGCTGTCCATTCTACAAACTTCTACCTCCTTGGTTTTTTGTTTTAATTTTTTTCTTTTTAATGTTTTCTTTCTTTTTTTAAATAGTTTATTGTCAAGTTGGTTTCCATATAACACCCAGTGCTCATCCCCACAAGTGCCCTCCTCCATGCCCATCACCCTCCTTCCCCTCCCCTCTGTTTTATTTATTTCTGAGAGAGAGACAGCTTGAGCAGGGGAGGGTCAGAGAGAGGGAGACACAGAATCTGAAACAGGATCCAGGCTCCGAGCTGTCAGCACAGAGCCCGACGCAGGGCTTGAACCCACGAACCGTGAGATCATGACCTGAGCCAAAGTCAGACGCTCAACCGACTGAGCCACCCAGGAACCCCAACTTCTACCTCCTTTGTTCTGCCTTGGGTGAATCCTTTTATCCCCTGGGCAAACTGAGCGGTATAAGGATCGTCACGCCACATTTGGGGACCCCCATCCGATCAAGGAGACACCACCTCGTTAAGTAAAAAAAAGCCAACCAACCAATTTAAAAATCTAATCATCTTTATTTTTTAAAAAAATTTTATAGTTTATTTTTGAGACAGAGAGAGACAGGGCACAAGTGGGAGATGGGCAGAGAGAGAGGGAGACAGATAATCTGAAACAGGCTCCAGGCTCTGGGCTGTCAGCATAGAGATCGATGTGGGACTCGAACCCACAAACTGCGAGATCATGACCTGAGCTGAAGTCGGACGCTTAACCAACTAAGCCCCCCAGGTGCCCCTCTAATCATCCTTATTAAGTGATTCACAGATTGGGCAGCACCCCCATCTGCCAAGTAGAGGCGGGGCTCCAAGGAGCTGTAGAGATGGAAGGATTTTACAGAAGGAGGGTGGGGTAGAAGGTTACTAGCAAAAGAATTTTCCCAGGCGAAGCCCATTTCCCGTGCGGGGACAGGTAAGGGGTCTTATCACGCAGCTGACCTCCTCCTTCTCCGGAGGAGGGAGAGGTCCCCCCGGTCGGCTCACTGTGCGGACTGGAAATCCCTGGCTTTACTGGGGGAGGTTGCAACTGCAGTTACTAGCTTAGGGCTTAAGCCCTGGTGGGGAACCCAGTCTAAGTGACGCCATTTTAGACCTGTGGTTTGCTCCTCAACAAGCATGGACCGCATTTTGTTTAGCCGTCCATGCCTTGATGGATACTGGGTGGTTTCCACAGTTTGGCCCTTGCGAGTAACGCTGTGACACGGGTGTACAATACCTGGGGATTCTCGCTTTCGGTTATTTTGGGCGGGTCTCCGGAAGTGGGACTGCCAGGTCACATGGTGATCCCATGACTAAGTGTTTGAGAAATTGACTTTTTTCAACATGCACCCACGCACTCACCCTCCCGTCAACTCTCCCCCCACCTCCCTCCACCCAGCGTTTATTTGACTACCACCCGTCAGCACGGTGCAGATGTCGGGGTCCAGGACAGCCGCTCCCTGTGTTACTGGAGTTCCAGTCTGGCAGGAAAGTGGGTTTTATTAATCCCCAGGATATACCGCATGCTGCACGTTTCCTGCCCTGTGTGATTTCCGCGAGAACTGGGCAGGATCTGCTGTTCCGCTTTTCCAGATGAGGTGCCGGTGAGCGGAGGGGCCTCGGGCACAGTGAGGACCACAGGTGCCGAGGATGTGTGAGCCGGCGGCTTCCGGTGCAGGACCCGGTCCAGGCCAGCCTTATTCGTGCGATTTCAGAAGCGAACAAGATCCTCTAAAACTCCAGCTTTCACGGGGCGCCGGGGCCTCAGGCAGGTGAGCCCCCGACTCTTGACCTCAGTTCCGGTCAGGATCTCACAGTTTGTGGGATGGAGCCCCATGGAGGCTCTATGTTAACAGCGCTGAGCCTGCTTGGGACTCCTCTCTCTCTCTCTCTCTCTCCTAAAATAAACTTAAAAAACAAATTTCCACAATTAGATTAATCCCTTTTATTTGCACTTTTGATTTCTATAAAACTCTAGGGAGAAATTACACAAACTCATGCCTAAAAACACTTCCTGTGGTTTTTACTTGCCAATTTTCAAGGAGTCTTTAAAAATGCAGATACATGGGGAGCCTGAGTGGCTCAGTTGGTTAAGTGTCCGACTTCAGCTCAGGTCATGATCTAACAGTTTGTGGGTTCGAGCCCCGCGTCAGGCTCTGTGCTGACAGCTCAGAGCCTGGAGCTGCTTCAGATTCTGTGTCTCCCTCTCTCTCTGCCCCTCCCCTGCTTGCAGTCTGCCTCCCTCTCTCTCTCAAAAATAAACATTAAAAAAATTTTTTTTTTAATTTTAAAAATATAGATACCTAATCCCAATGAAGCTGAGTGAAAATCATCATCAGGGGCTGACCGGAATGTACGTTATATACTTTCCGAGTATAATCTGACAATATATGTACTAAGAACCAAGATATAACCTACTCTGTTACTTGCATTCTACTTCAAGGATGTTAGCTAAGAAAGTCATCAGAAATGCACACAAAACGATGCTCAGCGTCCCTCCTCATCAGGGAAATACAAATCAAAACCACACTGAGATACCACCTCACGCCAGTCAGAGTGGCTGAAATGAGCAAATCAGAGAACTCGAGATGCTGGCGAGGATGTGGAGACACGGGCTCCCTCCTACACTGTTGGTGGGAATGTAAACTGGTACAGCCCCTCTGGAAAACAGTGTGCAGTTTCCTCAGGAAACTAACACTAGAACTCCCCTAGGACCCAGCAGTAGCACTGCTAGGAATTTACCCAAGGGACACAGGAGTGCTGATGCATAGGGGCACATGGACCCCAGTGTTCACAGCAGCACTCCCAACAATAGCCAAAACATGGAAAGAGCCTAAGTGTCCATCCGCGGACGAATGGATCAAGAAGATGTGGTTTATCTATACCATGGAATACTACATGGCAATGAGAAACAGTGAAATCTGGCCTGTGTAGCAACATGGATGGACCTTGAGGGTGTGATGCTGAGCGAAATAAGTCAGGCAGAGAAGGACAGATGCCATATGTTTGCACGTATAGGAGGATTAGGAGGAACTTAACTGAGGAACCAGGGGGAGAAGAAGGGGGGAAATGGTGGGGGAAAGGGAGAGACTCTTGAATGCTGACAAAAACTGAGGACTGATGGATGTGGGGGGAGGGATGGGCATGGAGGAGGGCACTTGTGGGGATGAGCACTGGGTGTGATGTGGAAACTAATTTGACAATAAACTATTTGTAAAAAAAAAAAAAGAAAGAAAAAAAAAGAAATGCACACAAAGATTAACTTACAAGTAAAGCCAGTGAAATATTTGTTAACTATGAGAAACTGGGCATAACCTGACTATTCAGTGAGAGGATTAGTTAAATTGTTGTAAGCTCATGTGATGGAAGTCACGTAGGCGTGGAAGCTCACTGAGAACATCAGACGACGTGGGGGAAGTACAAAAATATACTGTAAATATACATCATTGACTACGGTCTCAATCTTTGTCTAAAGAGTCTAACGTCAGTATGTTTCTTAACCTTTTTAAAATCTTTTTATTCATTTTTGAGAGACAAAGAGAGACAGAACACTAGCGGGGGGGGGGGTGTCACAGAATGGGAAGCAGCTCCAGGCTCCGAGCTGTCAGCACAGAGTCTGATGTGGGGCTCAAACTCCCAAACCGTGAGATCCTGACCCGAGCCAAAGTCAGACGCCCAACTGAGTGAGCCCCCCGGGCACCCCTAATGTCCGTGTTTCTTGAGCACTTATGTTCGTGTAAAATGACACCAACGTGCCTGGAGAGAAGACCAGAAAGCCGTACGCCCTGGAGACCATGGAACTGGGAGCAGCTTCAAGTTGCTCCTTGTAACGCGGTCATGCCCCCAGGCTGTCTACGACATGAGCTTCTCCTGCAGCTGGAGGACCCCGAGGGACGTTTTCGAGTCTCCGTGGGGCACTGTACGGGAGCCCCAACCCAACCAGTGAGGCGGCCGTGTCCCGTTAGACGGGATGAAAATCCATCGGCCCCTTGCATGGAGCTCCCAGTACAAAGAGCGAATTCCCTCGCTTTCCCTCGGTTCTTTCTCCATGAATAATTTGCCCCAAGAGGCCCCTCGAGGGTCTAATTTCCTGGCTTTTGGCCCAGATTTTGAATCTTTTCTGAGTTAAAGTATCACTAAGGAGAACTAAGGAGAAAGAAGAAACATTTCCAATAGAGTCTGGTCAGAAAGAGAGGATGAGGCTCAGGGTTATTTCTCTGGGTGGGAATAGTGAGCAGCGACAGGACTCCCCCCCCCCCCCCCGGGTTTAAGAGGACACTTGTCACACATTTTTCTGAACTCCCGGGAGAAAGCTCTCCAGGTGAGCCCGGAGCGGTTTTGGGTGGAGCCTGCAGGTCGGGGACAGCCTCAAGGCTGCAAGGCCAGCCTCAAACCAGCCGAGCGTGTTCGAAGATTAAAAAGTAGAAAACCACACCCAGAAGGTCAGGGAAGAATCTAGGGGGTTGTCTAGGGCTCTGAAGATACTGGCCCAAAGCACTCAAAAGGTTAAAAAAAAAAAAAAAAAATCTTGGCTATTCCCAAGAGGAAAGCAAAAACGATAATCTGTTCAAATAAAAAACAACATGTATTCCAGGCTTCAGGCTTAGTCGTTGCCTGTTTTTTGTTTTTTGGTTTTTTTTTTTTGTAAGTAATCTGTAAACCCAACATGGGGCTCGAACTCACCTCCCCGAGATGGAGAGTCACAGGGTTCATCTCCAATGGGAACAGAGCTCCCCCCGTCTGAGCGCAGAGCCGAGGGCTGACCTGGACCACGGACGCCTTGTCTAACCCCAGGCCTGCAGACCGACTTCTTGTTCGGTTCCTTGCCTTCCCAGCCGCTCTGTTACCTTGTGTGCTGCGCGGCCTGTCTTCTGTTCGGCTCTGGGCGCCGCGTGAGAGGCCAGGTGTGAAGCGTCACTGAGCTTGGAATCCTGAACCTGCTTTATAATTATATTAACTTCGCGTTATGACTGAACGGAGCCCGCGTTGGGACAGACGCACCTCGTGTGCACCCTGGGGACAGTTCCGGTCTGCGAGGCGGTGTGCTCTGAAAACAGAGGCGCATAGTTTGCAAGGCAAAAAGGTGTTCATGGGGATTATCTTAGCTCAGGCCGCCACAGAGCACCACAGGCCGGTGGCTTAAACAACCCTCCTTTATTTTCTCACGGCTCTAGACGCTGGAAGTTGAAGATTGCCCTTGAACTTGCTCTGACTCGGGTCCCCGTGAGAGCCTCCTGGCCGGCGTGGGCTCTCATACCTGTCCTCAAGCGGGCACCGTGGAGAGCTGGCCCTCTGCTGTTTCTTCTGTGTGATGGGGGAAACAGAGCAAGAGAAATGTCACTTAAATCTCCTGACAGCTCGCAGCCCACTGACGGACGCCTGAAATATGTAGTGTGACCTTCCTCGAGCAACTCATGGCTGCCTTAGAGCCTTAATGTTTATGGTTTTTTAAATTTTTTTTAATGTTTATTTTTTGAGAGATAGACATAGTTTGAGTGGGGGAGGGGCAGATAGAGAGGGAGACACAGAATCTGAAGCAGCTCCAGGCTCTGAGCTGTCAGCACAGAGCCCGACGCGGGGCTCGAACCCACAAACTGCGAGATCATGACCTGAGCCAAAGTCAGACATTTAACTGACTGAGCCACCCAGGCGCCCCAATGTTTTCTTAAAGACTAAAAGTAGGAGCGCCTGGGTGGCTCAGTCAGTGGAGTGGTTGAGCATCTGACTTCAGCCCAGGTCAAGATCTCATAGTTTGTGGGTTCAAGCCCTGTTTTGGGCTTTCGGCTGGCAGCAGAGAGCCTGCTTTAATTTCTTGTTCTTTCCCTGTGTCTCTCCCCTGATCATGCTCTCTCTCTCAAAAATAAATATTAAGCAGAATTGGGGGGAAATACATTAAAAGTAACCTTAACAGCAGCTAGCCCCACAAGGGCCTGAAAGCCTTGCTTCCAAATTCTTTAGAGACTTACGCCGTCCCTGGTCCCCCTAACTCATAAGTATATAACCAGTCACTCTTCACAGTCCCGGGCAGCTCTTTCCGCCCACAGGTCCTGTCCCCGTGCTATAATGAAATCACCTTTTTGCACCAAAAACATCTCAAGAATTTTCTTAGCTGTTTGCTCACAAACCCAACGCTTCCAAATTTCATCATAAGGATCCTAATGCTATCAAGTCAGGCCCCACCTCTTATGACCCCTTCGATCCCACTTAACCTTAATTACCTCCCAAAGGCCCCGTCTCCAAAAACCGTGACTTTGAGGGGTAGGGCTTTTCAACATACGAGTATGCTGGCTGGGGGCGGGGGGGGGGTGGGTACAAGGTGTCTGTGACAGTGGGTGGGCCTCTGGAGACCCACATCCCTCGTTGCCAACATCAGAGACGGCCGTCTGGCCGGGGAAAACCTGGGACGCATGACGTGAGCTGGGCCAGCCTGTACTTGCAGTATGGTCACCATCTTCGGGACCAATGCCGTCACCTTGGACCACGAGGGGCAGGCTCCAGGCTAGCGGGTGGCGTGCCTCAGTGAAGCCAGAATTCGGACACGGGTAGCAGGCGCGGCCGTACCCAAGAGCCACAGGCCAGGCAGCTTCACCAGCCAAGTCGTTCTCTCCCGGCTCTGGACACGAGAGGCCCAAGGCCAAGGTGTCCGCAGGGCTGGCTCCTTCCGGGGGTCGTGAAGGAGAGTCTGTTCTGCGCCTCTGGCTGTGGCTGGTATGCAGCCATCTCCCCGTGTCCCGTCTTCCTCTCTTCCTAAGGACACCAGCTGTGTTGGATTTAGGGCCCACCATGACGACTGCATTTCAACTTGATTATACCTGCAAAACGCCCTATTTCTAAGTAAGGTCACATTCTCAGGTGCGGGAGTGAGGACTGTGACATGTGAATTGGGGGAGAAGACAGTTCCACGTGTGTCAGGCAGCCTGTATGTGAAGTTCACCTCCAGTGGAAGGTGGGGTCGGCCAGCCTCTTCCCAGGGTCACAGCACCCCTCTGGCGTGGCGGGTGGGGGGACACTGGCCCTAGTGGGGTTCCAGACCCAGGGTGCTGCTCTGAAGGTGTTGCCGAGACACAGGGGCGCGAGAACACGTGGCTCCGGGGTCCCAAACAGGCCAGGCTCGGCACTGGCTGCTGACAAACCCCCAAGACAGTGAACGAAGGAGGAGGTTATTTCAGGGAGGCCAACGTGGGGAAGATGGCGGCTAACGTTTCAGAGACCGTCTCCAAAGTGCCGGAAACACTTCCGGGTTTGTGGGGGGGGGGCGGGGGGGGAAGTGGGGGCAAGGTGGTGGGTCCGTGCAGGTGGGCGGTGAAGGTCAGGTCCGTCACCGTCTTGGGGTCCCTCACGCTGGGCCTCCCTGGCTCCGGGCGGTGCTCGAGGGGGTAGTTTGGGTCCCCACCAGGCGACGCTTTGCCTGAGTTAAGAGATGGCCTGGAAGCAAGAACGTCATCAGTCAGAAAGCACAGACGGAGGCAAGAAAGGAGGTGGCCGACGTCCTCATTCAAAGGTGTTAGGCGCTGGGCTCTCCCGGCTCGTAGGGCAGAGGTGCCATCCAAGCTTCCGGGCATCCGCAAGACCCGAGCACCACCCATGTCGTTAAAGAACACGACTTCTAACACCCCTTACCGGACGAGCCTGTGGCAGGCTCCCTCTGGGTGTGCACTCCGGATTTGGGCATTTCAAATGCCACCAGGGTTTAGGTGAAAATGTGCTGACAAGTTTTACCATCACTGCACCCAAATGGAAAAAAAATTACCAATCAGGGAACCTGGGTGGCTCAGTAGGTTAAGTGTCTGACTCTTACTTTTGGCTCGGTCATGATCTCGCAGTTTTGTGAGTTCGAGCCCCAAGTCAGGGTCTATGCTGACAGTGGGGAGCCTGCTTGGGATTCTCTCTCTCTCTCTCTCTCTCTCTCTCTCTCTGTGCCCCTCCCCTGCTCAGGCTGTCTCTGCCTGTCTCAAAATAAATAAACGTTACAAAAAATTACTAATCACTCACATGGTCACCAAAATCGTGGTCCTTTTCCAAGGCTTCAGGCCCTTCCTGAACACAAATTACCACCAGCTGCTCAGAGAGCAGTAACTCAAGTGCTCTTTTGGAAAACGAGCTCAGGGCATGAGAAAATTCTCTCAGTTCTTGGGTTCTTTCTTGGTGAACGGCCTTCTCAGAACCTCCCGGACCCACCCACTTGCGTCTACAGCCACCCTCCCGAGCAGGGGCCCTGCAGTCCGCTGCCTCTTCCAAATCAGCTAAGAGTTTTGCCCCACACTGCCCCACACCGGGGAAGGGCAGGCCTGCCCAGGAGGGACCCAGGACTGGGTGCAAGGGGTCCCGAGGGGCTCTGCACCCCTGCCCCCCCGACACAGAGGTGAGGCAGCCCCCTATCATTTGGCTGGGCCAGGATTGGGATATCTTTTCAATAGACTGGTGGTTTCGGAAAGTCTTCATTCACTATGAGTCATCAGGAAAGAGGTTTGTGTACTGATAATTAGCAGCAACTAGCAGTGCTCATAAAACACCAAATTCGCTTGCCTGCCTAATCCGAGTGGCCCCAGGGGCACCCGCAGAGTGGAAAGGGTGCCCTGGGGCCCAGGTTCACTGACATGGGACAGGGCTGGGCCTTGTCCAGTTTACCAGCTTCTCCAGGTGACTCTCTGGTGACTAGTCCGAGAACCATGGGCACTGGGAGTGAGGAACCTAGAACTTTCCAAAGCTCCACGAAAAGTCAGTTCACCAAAACGTCATTCCCAGGCTTCTGACCTCTACCTGGGCCCTCTGCAAGGAAGAGGCCACCAGAGCCCGAAGTCCCGAGGCGGGTGAGCCTCTTCCCCTTAGTGCTCTGGATTTACCTGGGCTGAAGGTAGGAGGGGGTGGGGATGAAGAATGGGGGAGGCGGCTTACAGGTTTGCCCAGAAAAAGAGGGACAGTGGATGAAAGGTCGAGGTGGGGAGGGGTGAGATCAGATGCAGACACAGATTCGTGAGGCCCTCCTGAGAGCCAAGGGCAGCTGACCTCAGAGGAGGAAGGAGCAGAGGCAGCGAGGGCGGCGGCCAGCCCGCTGGTGGCTGCGGATCCGCGGGGCTCTCTCCCAGCAGCAGCCGTCCCCGATTTTCTCTCCCTGTTTCCGCGGCGCTGAAGCTGGGCGAACCTCTACCACGTAAGGTGTGGTGGACTTTCAACATCACTCTGTGAAATGGGCTTAGCACATAGTAACCACTCAATGGATGTTAGTTATTACTGTTACTGTTTTTAATCACGACACCCTTCGTGTCCCCAGTCTGGGCAGCTCAGCCACTGCCCTTCCTCGCTGCCCCCGCACCTATGGGCAGCGCCCCAGGCTTCTCCCCAGGCTGCAGGAGTTTAAACACATGCAGCCCTGGGTCACCACAAGGGACCCCAACACCCAGTCTGGAAGTCTGAAGCCCCCAGGACAGGTGGGGGTTGGGCGGGGAGCCCAGGGAATGCCTCAGCCTGGAGGGGCGGCAGAGAGAGGTGAAGGGCAGGGTCGTGACTGTTGAGGGCGGGCAACTCGCGCTCGCGGCGGGCTCTGAACCTGGAGAGGAGGTGGGGGGGGGACAAGGACCACGTGGCCGGGGCTGGGAGGGACCAAGCGCCCTGGGGTCCCCAAGGGTCTCAAGGCACCGCGGAGATGTAGCGCCCCCCAGGCGTCCCCTGGACTGGCGCCCCCGGCGGGCAGGGCGGGCTCAGGGCTAGTGCTTCGCGACCCCGGTCGGCGCAGTGGCCGGAAGGGTGGCCCCGGGCGTGCCCCCACCCGCCCCCCGCCTGCCCGCACTGTCGCACGCGCTCGGGTCAGAAGCGGGGCCCGCGGACCTCGTGCACGGAAGGGGCGACGCGGCAGCGCCCTCGCCGGCCGGCCCGGAAAGCGCCACCCCGCGTCCCGCACGGTGGCCGCGCCCGCCCACGCGCCGGGAGCCGGCGTGACGCCGCCACCGGGGCCCCAGCGGGGCGCGGCTCCGGCCGTCTGGGTCCCCGGCGCGTGGGCGGGCGCGGTGGGCGGGGCCGCGCGAAGCCCCGCCCCCGCCCGCTTGGGCCCCGCGGTGCCCGCCGCGCTGAGGTCACAGGGAGGCGGCCTGGCGCCCGAGCCGAGCGCCTGCGCCGAGCGGAGCCCCGCGGAGCCCGGCGAGCGGCGCACACGCTGACGCCCGCCCGGCCCCGCGCCGCCGCGGCAGGCCCGGCATGGAGGGGGAGTGCCGGGTGCTCTCCATCCAGAGCCACGTCGTCCGCGGCTACGTGGGCAACCGGGCGGCCACGTTCCCGCTGCAGGTACGCGCCGCCCGCCGGTGCGGCTTACGTAACCGGCCGGGGGTCCCCGCGCCCGCGTGCGGGCTCTGTGACCTTGGCCCGGCCGCCGGGCCCGCGCCCTGCGGGGAACGGGGCCCGGGGTGGGGGGAGGCCTGCGCTGGGCGCGCGCCCGCCGAGGACGGGGCCCGGCGTGCAGGCTGTGGCGCCCTCGCCACCCGCGCCCCTGCCTGCTGCGCGCGGCCGGGGACCCCCCCCGGAGGCGGGGGAAGGCGGCGCGGGGCGTCCGGACCCTGCCCGGGGCGGGGGGGGGGGACGGAAGGCAGGTGTTCGCGCGCTCACCTGCCGAGGGGAGGGGCGAGCTCGCGGACCCTGGCTTCTGGCGGCCGGGGTGCGGCCCGCCTTGCGGCTGGCTCTTGGCGAGGTGGTGGCCAGGGAGGCGGGCGGGGCGAGAAGGCCTGCCTGCAGGTGCTGGTTGTGCAGAATAGCCCGGGGACCCACTCAGGCCCGTACCCTGGCTTTAGAAGCTGGTTTTCAAGTGTTGCAGCCTGCACTTAATGACAGACCTTCCCCGCTTGTCTTTGACGGGGTCTCACGGGCCAGGCACCCACTGCTTCCTATTGCAGCCCCAAGGTTACAGCTGGGTGGCTCTTGGAGGTGCGGGAGGAGGCCTGGGTGGCCTAGACTTTCACGCCCAGGCAGCACTGGGTGATGGACACTTCCTTCCCTTGTCTGCCCGGCAGGAGGGCTGGGTGGTCATGGCAAGGTCGTGGCTCCCCTGGACGCGCCCCCCCTACCCCGACTCCCACAAGAAGCAGGTACTGTCGGTCAGTGGATTGCCTGCCCCCAGCTCTGTGGGGGAGGGAAGCTGGTTACGCGTAGGTGGATCAGGTGGGCAGGGGGCTGGGGCGCTCTGTGCTTGGGGAGGGAGGTGCGGGGCACACCTCGAAGGCAGAACCAGGCAGGGCTCAAGAACAGCCTCAGCCTGCGGTCCCAGGAGGGACGCCCCTTCTCTGCCAGGCAGCGGTGGGAGCTGTGCCCTTGGCAGAGGCGTGTGGCCCTGTGGCCTCCTTGTGCCCTGTGCCTGGTCCCTCCTCCGTGTCTGTCCACACTCCTTCCTCCCTGCACTGGGCACCCATCCCCTCCTCAGCTCACCTGGGTCCTGCAGTGATGCCCTGCGTTCCCTCCAGGCGCATGCTCTCCACTTCCACACCGGGGACTCTAGGGAGGGGGCTCCTCCAGACCCCCCCGGGGGAGGTGGCTCGGAAGGTCAGAGCTGTGATTCTGACCTGGGCCTCCGCCAGTGCCCAGCCTCCTTACCTGTGTGCTGGGGGTGGGGGCTCTGCCTCCCATCTGACTCATGCCGGCACTTCCTTCTCGGGCTGTGAGGCCCAGAGGAGCCTGGGTGGGTATCTCTGAAGTGTTAGGTTCCTGAACTCGAAGAGGCCACCTTCCACACCGAGCTCAGTTCCTTTGGCTGTGGAACAGTCGCGATGCCTGCTTCCCGGGTGGTTTTAGGGGAGACCGGTGTGTCTTAGAGGCTGCTGGATGAGGTGGGCCGGCACCGCCCGGGGCTGCTGTGTTCCACCCACCGCGCAGGAAGACCAGAGCAGGGCCAGGCGGCCTGGAAAGGTGCCTGGGGCGTCTCGTGTGGGCTGGGGCCTCAGGTACCTGCCTGTGTGTGGTTTTGGGGCCTTAATTACTTCTCCCTAATTACAGAAATAAGACGTACTCTCGGGATGGAGAGAGGGCTGAGGAGGGGAGAAAACCAGGGGTGGTGATCCCCCAGACATGTTGTGCCCCAAGCTGGACCCCAAACGGGGAATATCCGTGTGTTTTCAGGCAGCCATAACAAAGTACTGTGGACCAGGCGGTGTAGATGGTAGTTAGCTCTCTCTTGATTCTGGAAGTCCAAGATCAAGGTGTCAGCAAGGCTGTGTCCTCCTGAAACATCTGTCTCTCTGTGGCACATAGATGGCTGTCTTCACTTGGTTCCTCTGTGCGCGTCTGTGTCCTGATCTCTGCTCATAAGGACACCAGTCAGATTGTACCAGCGCCACACTACTGACCTCATTTTACCTTAGTTACCTCTGGAAAGATCCCGTCTCTAAATACAGTCACTTTCTGAGGTGCTGGGGGCCAGGGTTTCAGCAGAGGAATTTGGGGAACACAATTCAGCCCACAACAACAAATTCCGGAAATTTCTTCATTCTTTGGGCACTCTCCATAACAACTTAATGCTTCCTCGACGAGAGTCTAGACTCCTTACCAGTCTGCAAATGCTTGCCAAGGCCGGGCTGCTTCGCTCTGGTGGGATCGATCTGGAAATCCCGCAGGGCGCTCCACAGGGTCCCAGGCTGGCATTCCACTACCCACCTGCCTGCTCCCCACATCTGCGCCCTGCTGGAGCAGGGAGGGGTGGGCGGCCTGAGGACCGACCTCAGGACCAGCCCTGGTGCCGGCCGGGTGGGGTTGGACAGAGCCCAGGATAGCCGTGAGTCGCACACTTGCAGATTCCAGCAGCGGCCCGCAGCGCCCCGAGCTGTGCTTAGACAGGGGTAGAGTCTCGACCCGGCCGACGCCGTACAGCTGGAGTCCGGCACCGGTTCACAGGGCGCCTGGCTGTGCTCGCAGGAAGAGAACTCGCACAGGGTGGCAGCAGGCGGGCTCTGGCTGGGCTCCACGGACTTGCAAAGACTGGAGAAGCCCCGGTGGGGACTGACACAGTGTCCCTTTGTCCTGGACTTCTGGCTCAGGGGCTGGGCCCTGCCTGCTGAGCCTCTCCAAGCCTCAGGAGCAGATTGGCAGTCAGATGATGCCCGCTCCCAGGGGCACCGTCTAGACGGAGTGCGGCCCGCGGTGCTGGCACGGTGAGAGCCTGTTCCTGGGGAGCTCCCGCCGCTGCAGGGTGAGGGTGGCATGAGTCTGCGAGTCACGGGCGTCAGGGGCCGTGGCTCCCAACCTGCTTTTTGCACACCGCTTGCAGGCAGCCCACGAGCAGCCGCCTTCTCCAGGCAGAGGAAAGTGTCGTACGGAAGGGAAGGAGGCAGAACCTTGATCGTGGAGATTTGTTTTCAGACCCGAGTCCAAAGTATGTTTCAGTGACCAGCACAGGAGGGAAGAGCTGGGGCTCGTGGACTCCGTGACCCCATCCGTGGAGGGAGGGCTGCCAGGTCAAGGTCACACAGGCCAGGATGCGTCTGGGCTGCCGCCCTGTGTGGGGCTGGGCCTTCCCGCTGCTCTGACCTTCTGTCCTAGGGTCAGGAAAGACCAGGGAAGGATGTGGCGAGGGGAGATGAGGTGCAGCCTGTCGCCGGCCACCTCCACCCCACACGCTGCTGGGGTCTCCTTCTCTTGGAAGCTGGAAACTTAAATTCTCCCGGGCCGGGAAGTCCAGTCCCTTCCAGCCCCGTGGCGTCCCTGTGTGCTCGTCCGTTCTGCGGCGACTCCATACTTGCGTGTCCCCCAGGGGGAGGGGAGACCCTGGGACCCCCAGGCAGCCCGCTCCCGTGCCCCTGTGGTGAAGGCCCAGCAGGCCCCAAGGCGGAGGGTGGTGCGGGCTCGTCCTGGGGTCTCTCTCCCTCTCGCTTGGAACCACAGAGATTCACTCTCTTGCCGTGCCGGGGCCCAGAAGCCGAAGTCAGGGTGTCGGCCAGGGGCCACGTGCCCTCTGAAGGGTCCCTGGGAGGAGCTTGCCTCAGACTCATGTGACCTCTGTCCTGGGAGGCCGGTGTCCCTGGAGGGTCACAGCGGAGAGGTGCAGCCCTGAAGGGTCCTGGTGGCAGGGAAACACGAAATTCCTGAATTCTGGCAGCTTTGAGAATCTGACTTGGGCCATCGCTCAGAACCCTTTTATTTTATTTTATTTTATTTTATTTTACTTTACTTTACTTTGTTTTATTTATTTCTGAGAGAGAGAGACAGCATGAGCAGGGGAGGGCCAGAGAGAGAGAGAGGGAGACACAGAATCAGAAACAGGCTCCACGCTCTGAGCTGTCAGCACAGAGCCTGATGTGGGGCTTGAACCCACGAACTGAGATCATGACCTGAGCTGAAGTCCAACGCTCAACTGACTGAGCCACCCAGGCGCCCCTCTCAGAACCCATTTATACAGCACGTCTCTGCTCAGCCAGGGAGGCAGGGCCCTAGGGGGTCCTGGGGAGCTGGCCGCACGCGGGGCCCGCTGCAGAACCCGGCCTCGTTCCCGGACTCTCCGGGCCCATGGGTGCAGAAGCAGACCCGAGACCTAAGATATCTATGGCGGCCGGTGGACATTCCATGTTTTTGTACAGGGCACATTTGCCGCAGTGGCCTGTGGCTCGGGCATCCCTCAGGAGGGGGCTGGTGGGCAGTGGGATGTGCTGCGAGGCCCCTGGCCCAGAACGTGGGTGGAGACCCCTACCTGCCGAGTGACGCTGGCTATGGCAGCTGGGCCAGAGGGCTGGCGGGGCCCCCTGCTGGGCTGCGGGGCCCCAGGTGTGGCAGGATCCCCTAGAGATGCGTGACAGGGGGCCGGGTGGAGAGGTTGTTTCTTTCCAGCCTCGCGCCTTTAAGAACCCCTGGAGCCTCAAGGTGGCCTTCTCAGAGGAAGTGCTTTACTTTTTCCTTAGCCGTCCAGGGATAGAAAGGGCCCTTCCACACATAACTGCATTTGGAAGGTACCAGAAGAATGTCCCCCTGCCCTTTAAAAGACATGGCTTTTGCCTTAACATCTCTCCTGGGGACATAGGTTGGCGACCAGCACCAGAGAGCTGGCCCCAGACAGTGCCCGTCCCTCCTGCCCACTGTGCACTCCGGGTTTGGCACTCTTCCCAGGCTCCTCTGCACTTTCCCTCGTGCTCCGGGATGCACACCTCTGCTCCCTCTGCTCCCTCCCTCCCTCCACGTGTGGTGTTCTGTTTCCTGTTCTGTTCCTTGCCGGCAGTGTGACCGGGGCGTGGTCAGTCCTGGGACAGGTGTTGCTTTGGCTCCTTCCCAGGAATGTCCAGAATTGCTTGATTTCTTGATTTCCCAACTTTCTTTTT